AACACTATGGCGTTCAAGTTCCCCCTTACACAGAGCACGTGGGAGAATCTATAGGACAGAAGAGACACAAGGATCCCTTCACACTCTGCCCTCTCAATGTATGGTAGCAAACCCCACTAAAAAAATCCACTGCCGTCGAGTCGATTCCGACTCATAGCAGCAGACCAGGCCTGGACAAATGTGCCCGTGAGCCTTGCAATGAGTTGTGAAAAGACCAGGCACGAGCATTTTTCCAAGGCTTGGGAGCACAGAATGAAGAAGACGATAAGCGTAAACACATTAAATTTCAAGTCAGTGAAAACGCTTTAAAAAAAAAAAGGCACAATCGTATAGGTGGAGAGAATCTGCCTTGGGAGTTCACGCTGCCGCAACAGTGCTTCCGGAGCAGAGGATTCAGAAGAGACCTTTGTGCTGTTAGTGATTCTGTTTTGATTTGGAAGTGGATTTTTCCAGATTTCTCTCAAGGTTTTCATAAAGATGGAAAACTATCAGGTGAGAACCTGGAGCACAGCTGAAGACAGATCTGTGTCCTTAAACAGCCTATTGTGAGAGGGTGGTACAGTCACAGCTCTCACTGACAGCCAGAGGCTGGCCAAAGGCAAGGTCAGAAATCTCTAGAAAGACTTCTGGTCACACAAACATACTAAGTCTGCAAGCCTCTGTTGTATGCCTTGTAGACTGAGAAAACTTTGATTCTTTTTTTGTTATTATTGTAGCACAGTATTTCCCCCTTCCAATTAAGTTTTTTCTTTATTAAATAACTTTTTTAACAACTTTATATTTGAGATAAACTTTTGTCTCTTCGTGCTTATTGATTCAGAACTATAAGACAAAGCATTGGCTTTTAATGAGACTGCACACAATTCCTTAATGCGTGGTTTTACAAGTTAGGGAGTGGTTTGCTTTGAATTATGTTTGTAACTTTTATGAAAATAGCATTGACTATGATACTCTTTTTTTCCAAAATCAACAGGAAAGCCTAGTGCTGCCATTCCATCAGCACATTAGCTTCTAGCACTTCCCACTCACTCTGAAGAATCCTTTAACGTGTAAACTCCTTGACACTTTAATTTGCTCTAATTATTTCTATTTTTTTAAACAAACAAATCAAATTATCCTATAATTTCCCTTTTAAAGAGTGTGATGTATCCTCAATGTTCTTGTAAAGCTTATGTCATTTACATTTTTCTTCTGTATAGTATCATTCTTTGTTCCCAGCTAACACAAAGCACTCTAAAAGTAGGCACAGTGTCTTTTCCTACAGCAAGCTGACTTACATGGTATTTAAAGGCAAATAGAATTGGGAGAAAAGCAATTTATTTTCAGTAAGGATGCGTGTTAACCCAGCAGAGCTGAGAGACAAAGGATAATTTTGCAGAATAAACAGTTTAGCTGTTCAAGTTGGATTTTGGTTTTGGTTTTTGACCCAGTATTGGACATTCTGTTCTTTAGCTATCTTGGGCTTTTCTCAGAAATAAACTAAAAATGTGATGTGTGTGTGTATGTGTGTGTCAAATTTGAATTAAAGAAGCCACAACTGAAAAGAAAGTTCCCGGTTGTACTTACTAATTGTGGTCATTTTCACATAGTCCTTAAGTCAAATTCTGAGGTTGGAACCCTAATAACCTAATGATTTGTTAGAATATAAGACTGGAAAAAAGCTGCCAGTGTAAACTCTCATTTTCCTTTCATCTAGTACATTTTAACTTTTTTTGAAAGTGGAATATTATTTGGTTACTTTTCAATTTTTTAAACTGATGTTTTAATAGATAATAAAAGTAATTTCTAGACATAACTGCTTTCTTTGATTAACCTTAGGCAGATCACATGTTTTACATCTTCATTTAAACTACAAGTAGATTTTAACAGTGGTACCTTTTTAAAAATTAAATATAATTTAAATTCTATTTTGATAATGTTGATAAAATATAGGAGACTTAATAGTCTCTTATGTTAAGTTTGAGAAAGGATCAGATGTAATTATATTACCCTGTCCTCTTTGAAACTCTCTTTCACCTAGATTTCCATAATACATCTACTCCTCACTTATCAACTATCTTGTTATCTGACATTTTGCATTTACAACAATAGTAAAAAATCTACTGTCTGACTATTTTGCGCATTAACAACGTACATCTGGCAGTAACAAACGCTGAGAAGCAAGGTGAGAGTAATGCTGCCTGTCATGGTTAAGGTTATGTGTCAACTTGGCTGGGCCGTGATTCTCAGTGGTTTGGCAGTTATGTAATGATGTAATTTGGCAGTTATGTAATGATGTAGTGGTTCTCCATTTTGTGATCTGATGTGGCCATCCTCCATTTTCACATAATGCTTATTTTCATATAATGACCTGATCTTTGGAACCTAACCAGGTCAATAAGTGAGGAGTGGGTGTACTAACTTCTCCTCAGTCGCCTCCTGTCCATCTGAATTCCCATCAGAGTTCTTGGCCTCTTCTTCCTCCTCTGTCTGCTCTTACATGTGGGTATCACCAAAGGTCAGGCTGTAGAACCTCTTCTCTTTTTCCTTGCTTCCCTGGTAAGTTTCCCCATCTGCACCTCTGTCTGAGACCTTTCTCCGTTGTTCAGTCCCATCTTTCCAGTGTGATCTGCTGGGTAGCTCCCCTTGAAGTCTGGCCAGCACCCCAAACTCAACATGTATTAAACCATACTGCCTCCTCTTCTGAATTGCTCCTTGTTGCTTCAGCAGTTTTTGGTGTCACTATTCCATGGTTATTCAGTGTCAAAGCCTAGTGGTGTCCTTGAGTTCCTTTTTTCCCGGATCCCCCATTAGTGATTCTACCAAATCCTTCCCCTTCTCTATACTGTAACCCTGTTTCAAGCCCTTCACTTTTGCAGCGGCCTCCTTACTTAACCCCTGACTTCCTCTGAAGAAATATTTCCTCAAAGCTCAAGGGGATAAAACAACTGGGGCATGAACAGGGCCAAATGCTGCCATGGAATGAGGTAGAAAATTGGCTTCTGGCTTTGGCATTCAGGAGTTAACAAGTGGCTGTGGTGAAAACAGACTGAGGGGTGGGGGTAAAAGTCAGGATATAAGAGGTGCTGAGGGGATGGGAGGGACACACAGGACACGGAGTGTGGGCCACTCGAGTTTGCTGATGAAGAGGAGGAGAAAGACAAGGCAGGAGGTAGGGAACCATTTTTTTTTTTCTTTAGGGCGAGAGAGACTCACATCTCCTTTATTTTTTCTGTGAAATTAGAAAAAAAAATCAAGGGAGTGTTGTTTATTTAATTGTAGCAGACCCAAGACAATGCCTCTCCCTCAATCTTCGCCATCTCAGTAAATGACAGTTGCATTTTCCTAGCTACTCAGGCCAAAATCCTTGGGTCATCCTCTTTGATGCCTCTTTGTGTCTCACACTCTGCATCCACTTTGTCAGAGCCGTCCTCTCTACCCTATAGTGTCCAGAACCTGCCACTCTAGTCCAGCTCTCCAGCATCCTTTGCCTAGTACATTGCAGTGGCCTCTCCCCTACCTCCCTGCTTCAGCCCTCACCCTCTTCGGTCTATTCTTCAAGCAGCAACCAAAGCAACCCCTGCTCACAACTCCCCAGGAGCTTCCATCACACTCAGATAAAATCTGAAGTCCTTAACTGATTATGAGGCTAGTGACTCAGTGTGACTTGTTGTTAGGAGTCCTCGAGTTGATTTTCGACTCATAGCAACCCTCATGTGACAGAGTAGAACTGCCCCTTAGGGTTTTCTAGGCAGTAATCTTTACAGAAGCAGATCACCACCCCGTTATATCCTTGCCCTTATTTCTCCACCTTTGCTCACTGTCTACACTGGCCTCTGTGGTTCCTCAAACGTCTGTCTCAGGGTCTTTGCACTTGTAGTTTGCACTGATTGGAAGGCTCCTCCTGCACGTCTCTGTGACTGTGCTCTCCCTTCGCCTTCAGATCCTTGCTCAGCTAGACTTTCCTGGGCCATGTGTTTAAATTTGCGAAACTTCTCCACTCACCCCAACTCCAGAACTTTTTATTCCCCTTCCCCACTTTATTTTTCTTCTGCGTTTACCTCTGATATATACTTATTGTTTGTTTATTGCCTCCCCCCATTACAATGCAAGCTTCATGAATGCAGGATTGTTGTTGGTTTTTTGTTTTTGTTTTCATTTTTTTGGCCTGCTTTTTTTCACTGCTGTATGTGTTATCTATAGTGGTTATCACAGCTCTTCACATATAGCAGGAACTCAGTAGTATCAATTGGACAGGTTTTACTTTTGAGAATTTATTTGGCATCCTCGCTGTTATCATATTATGCATTCTGCTCACTATAACTGTCTGCCTATTACATCTATAATTGGATTATTTGAATGGTTTTGTTTTTATTGTTTTTTTCTAGCTCCCTTCTTAAAATAGTAATTAGTGCAACGATACTTATTGAACTTTGTGGTTTATAAATTTCCTGTGTTAAGCTGGATTCTATTTCCAACTGGTACTTGACAACTGAAAGACTTAATCTCTGTCCACTTCTTACAGCTTATTCAAGTTCCATGCCATCCCCTCTGACTTAATAAAGAAGTTTCTTTAAGGTTACTGTAATGTACTCAAATTACTGTAGTATAATTTTGAAAAATATCATGGTGGCCAGATATTGCTGGATGTCATAACAGTTTACAGAGAGCAGGTGTCCCTTGCAGTTGTACTTATGGAGCTATTTTAATTAACAATAGCTTTATGCCTTAGTTCATGCTTGTGGGTCTATGCTGGGAACATAATAGACATTTTCACAAAATGAACTGACACCTGCTAATTTTCTGTATTGTTAGTTTGGAATTTTTTCACACTAAATATTCTCAAGGCAGAAACATCTGGGCCTGAGAGATGAAAGTCTGGTTTTGCTTGCCTGAACTCTTTTGGCACAACAGTAATAGAATGGAGATCTGAGGCCCTCTTAATGCCAGTTCATGTGGTAAAACTTTCTTTCAAGTGTGCTGATTTTTCATGTGTATGTGTTTGTTTTGTACTGTTCCAGGCTCTACAGGATGAACTGGATGCCCGTTCTAATCAGTTGCGGAATGCAGAGAAAAAATTACAGCACAGAGAACTGGAGTCACAAGAACAGGTACATTCCCCTTCCCTGCTTGGCCTGTTTGCTCGCTGACTTTCTCTAGGTCAAGGAACTTATGCACTCACTACCTGCTTCAGTTAGTATACTTTGGCTGTGAATAACAGAAAACGCCACCTCTAAGTGACATAAGCAATAAGAGAATTTATTACTTCACAAAACAAGAAGCCTGTAGGCAGGGCTGGCTCTGGGCAGAGAGCCTCAGGGCTCTGGCTCTGCTTCTCTGACATTCTTGTGGCCTCCTGTGGTGGCTTCATGCTAAAGGTGAATCCAAGATGGCTGCTGCAGTTCCAGGCATCACATCCAGACCTGGCAATATCCAGGGGTAAAGGGCCTGTCAGTTTCTGGGGTCTCTTTCTGAAGAGTAAGGAAACTTTTCCCAGAAGCCCCACTCCCAGTCTCCTTTCACATCCAGTGGCCAGAGCAGGTCACATGCCTAGCCCTGGCATGCCCAGCCCTGGCAAGAGGACTTAGAGTACCTAAATCAGCCTAGACCATTCAGGATCTACCGGTTGGTGATGGACTTAGGCAAAGAAGGATAACCTGAACAAGAAAAGGGGAAGGACTGTTGGGTATGCAGCCAACAGTGACTGCTGTGTCATCCTTTTTAAATAAATGGGCGTTATTTTACTTAGATACGTAAATCATAATTCCTTTTGCAGTTTAATGTTCTTTTTTCCCTTATGTTAATGAAATAATCTAATATAAACCTGAAGTTATCTGACTATAACAATAGCTAATGACCTATTGTATTTTCAAATGACAGAATTATTTTCATCCAGTTCTTTTGATTGTAATGAATTATTTTTGGTGGTAATTTTGACAATTTAAAAGAAAGAGTCAATAACATATCAATAAAGATCATGAGTCTTAATGAAACCTTTCATAAATGCATTGTTCATGGCCATTGGGTATATAGCATTGCTGATTTCCTTCGAAAGAAGTGCCACCAAACCATTATGTATAGAACCTGCCCTAGGTGTGACAGACTTTATACTTGGGTTATCTCATAGTAAAACTCAGTACAGGAATATTAAATTAGTTCATTTTGACTTTGTGGAGAGAGTAAACACTGAAGTAAGGCTAATAAAGAAGCTTTTATCTATGGAGAGGTTTACAAACAGGATCCTGAGGCACGGGATTATACAACATGGCAAAAGTAAGCACCAAATAGTTGTTGAGTATTAATACATACACAATTGAATTGACTCCCTATAATTCCTTCCTACCCTCTTATATCTTGTATGATACGTCTATGTCATATATATATTGTGTATATATGTGTACATAATATACATATGATAGGCATAAATACATGTATATGCATATATACATGCATATCATAGTCTGTGCTATGTAGTCAATAATACTAGATGAAGTACCACAATAAAAAAATTAATAATAGCTCCAGTTTTTCAAGTGCCTACAGTATGATAGACGCTATACAAGAAGTGTTTCACATATTAGTTCATTTAATCCTCATAATAACCATGTAACTAACGTCAGTATTATCATCCCCATTTTAAATCACACACTGACACCCAGAGAGATTGAAAAACCCATCCAGGGTCACACAGCTAGTAAGTAGTAGATAGCTGCCGCTGAGTCAGCTTTGACTCATGGTGGCCTTCTGTACAACAGAATGAAATATTGCCCAGTCCTAAGTCATCCTCACGACAGTCGGCATGTTTGAGTCCGATTATTGTGGCTATTATGCCGGTCCATCTCACCGTGTATCTCCCTCACTCTCACTAGCCCTCTGATTCACCAAACATGATGTTCTCCTCCAGTGAGTAACCCTTCCTGATGGTATGTCCAAAGCAAGCAAGTCATACAATGTTCTGTTGTGATCCATAAGATTGTTATTCGCTAATTTTCAGATTTGATGCTGACGGTTTGATACCTGTGTTTTCCATCCGGTGAGGTCCGCATATATAGTTGCCGTTTATGTTGTTAAAAAAAGATATTTGCAATGAATAAGCCATTGGTCTTGCAAAATTCTACTATGCAAACTCCAGCGTCGTTCCTGTCACCAAAGCCGTATTTTCCAACTACAGATCCTTCTTCATTTCTAACTTTTCCATTCCAAACACTAGTAATTATCAGTGCATCTTGATTGCATATATGATCTATTACAGACTGTAGAAGTTGGTAAAAATCTTCAGTTTCATCATCTTTGGCATTAGTGGTTGGTGCATAAATTTAGATAATAATCATATTAACCAATCTTCCTTGTATGCGAATGGGTATTATCCTGTCACTGACAGCACTGCACGTCAGGATGGATCTTTGGATCTTGTTGAAATGTTCATTTTGATAACAAATGTGATGCCACTCCTCTTCAATTTGTAATTCCCAGAATAGTAGACCTGATTCAAAAAGGCCAATACCAATTTCAGCTAACGCCAAAAAAAAACCAAACCTGTTGCCATTGAGTCAATTCTGATTCATAGCGACCCTAAACCCTAGGATATTGATTTTTATGTGTTCCATTTCATTTTCGACAACTTCCAGTTTTCCTAGATTCATACTTCGTACATTCCTCATTCCAATTATTAATGGATGTTTGCAGCTGTTTCTTCTCATTTTGAGTTGTGCCATATCAGTAGATGAAGGACATGGAATGAGGGATATCATTGCCGATGTCAGATGGATCTTGGCTGAAAGCAGAGAATACCAGAACGATGTTTACCTGTGTTTTATTGACTATGCAAAGGCATTCAGTTGTGTGGATCATAATAAATTATGGATAACATTGCAAAAAATGGGAATTTCAGAACACTTAATTGTGCTCATGTGGAACCTGTACATGAACCAAGAGGCAGTTGTTCAAACAGAACAAGGGGATACTGCATGTTTTAAAATCAGGAAAGGTGTGCATCAGGGTTGTATCCTTTCACCCTACTTATTCAGTCTGTATGCTGATCAAATAATCCGAGAAGCTGGACCATATGAAGAAGAATGCGGCATCAGGATTGGAGGAAGACTCATTAATAACCTGCATTATGCAGATGACACAACCTTGTTTGCTGAAAGCTAAGAGGACTTGAAGCACTTCCTGATGAAGATCAAAGACCACAGCCTTCAGTATGGATTACACCTCAACATAAAGAAAACAAAAATCATCACAACTGGACCGGTAAGCAACATCATGATGAACAGAGAAATTATTGAAGTTGTTAAGGATTTCATTTTACTTGGATCCGCAATCAACACCCATGGAAGCAGCAGTCAAGAAATCAAACAACACATTGCATTGGGCAAATCTGCTGCAAAAGACCTCTTTAAAGTGTTGAAAAGCAACGATTTCACTTTGAGGACTAAGGTGTGCCTGACTGAAGCCATGGTATTTTCATTTGCCCCACATGCATGCAAAAGCTGGACAATGAATAAGGAAGACCAAAGAAGAATTAATGCCTTTATATTACGATGTTGGCAAAGAATATTGAATATACCATGAAGTGCCAGAAGAACGAAGAAATCTGTCTTGACAGAAGTACAGCCAGAGTGCTCCTTAGAAGCAAGCATGGTGAGACTTCATCTCACGTACTTTGGACATGTTAACAGGAGTGACCAGTCCCTGGAGAAGGACATCATGCTTGGTAAGGTAAGGGTTAGCAAAAAAGAGGAAGACCTTCAATGAGATGGATTGACACCGTGGCTGCAACAGTGGGCTCGAACATAGCAACAATTATGAGGATGGCACAGGACCAGGCAGTGTTTTGTTCTGTTGTACAAGGGTCACTATGATTTGAAACCAACTCGATGGCACCTGACAACAATGATTTTCAGAAGTAGATCACTAGGCCTTTCTTCTGAGTCTTAGTCTGGAACCTCTGCTGAAACCTGTCCACCATGGGTGACCCTGTTGGTATTTGAAATACCAGTGGAATAGCTTCCAGCATCACAACACGCAAGCCACCACAAACTGACAGATAGGTGGTGGAGTAAGTAATAGAGGTGCCTTCAAACCAAGTTTATCTGAATTCCAAACATTTGCTCTTTCCTGAAAATTTTTAAGATACGACATTTTAAGTTAATAAGAAAGAGAGCTCAATAGCTGTGATAGGAGAAATAAGTCTGCATTTTGATTGTAAGCACATTTGACTGAGTTGAAGCAAGTTTATCAAGGGTGGCAGGAAAACAAACGTACTGTTCCAGATACCTAGTACAGTAGCAAAATACAATTTTAGCCCTCCATCCCCGTGAGCATAAAAAAGCAAAGAGCAAAAGAACCAAAAGCATGGCAGATTTAGCCACGGAAAATGGGACCTTAGATTGGAGGATGGTCTTCAAGTCTAACCAGCGTATGTCTCAGTGTCACTGGAGGTCAGCTGAGCTCCATCCTCTGTCTAGGACTTTTGTAAGTAAAAGAAGGAGAAAAGACAAGCCTCTTAAAGGCAGGAAATGGTGCTCCCTGGAGGATCAGGGCTTCTCCAGTGTGTGATAAAATATGACTTAAGGTAAAACTTTGTTGACATCACTCTAATTCATGGCAAAACTTCACATGGAAAATTCCATAATATATTGAGAGTAGGGAAATTAAGAAATCCCAAATGAGCAAGAGGGGAGGATTCAGGAAATACTTTCAGTCTTTTTTTATTGACTTCTTTTTGATCATCAGAGTTGCTTTCATCTTTGTAGTGACAATAGCTTTGTAGAATATTTCTTACACTGATTCCTGATATCTTATATTAGGCTACACTTTACCAAAGAAACGTCAGGAAATACCCATGGGTACAGCTGAATATTTCATCATCTTTGCAGCCATGAGATGTTGGGTTCTTTCCACAGGGTCCTAGGGTGTAATCAGAAAAAATGTCCGTGGTGTCAACAAAACTGAAGAGCAAATAATAGACATTTAATAAATGCCATTCATCTATATTTAATTTAATCTGTGATTCTATCAAAATTTGACCTATTTCCTTCTTCCAGTTTGTGCCACCAATAGAAGTAATCAAAAATCATTAGAATTGCTGCCGTGTACATTTTTAAGG